CGAATGCGTTCGGAGGGGATCGGGAGTGAAGTGGAGAGGGGAGTAAAGTGGAGTTCAGATTGACTGCTCTCCAGGGTTTCCCGGATGGGGATGTTTGTGGGGCAGGCGTGAGTCAGGCTAGGCCAAGCCGACGTGGCGGATGCGCCCGTGCCACCCCATATCCGCCCCATATTTGGGCTGGATATGAGGGGTTCCGGTCATTCCGGGCGTTTGAGGCTCGTTTGAGGCATCCGCCTGGGTCGAAAATTTGTGATCGGTCAGTGACTGGGCGGGCCGCCTGGGCGGGCCGCCTGGGCGTTTGAGGCGGGTTTGGGATGCCCGACTGTAGATGCTCTAACTAGTATTAAAACATTTAGTTTGCGAGATCTTTAAAAGTTAGAATCCATTGATAACTCAAAACTTTGGATTCAATTTTTTAAAATGTTGAAAATTAAAACCTTAACTCAATAGTTTGACCTTGTGTAACTTAAAAGTTTCAATTTGCAAGATAAATCTTTGAAATTAGCAAGTATTAGTTAGAAAGTTATTGGGAAATCCTCTTCATGTGGGTGCATTAAGGGGGTGGCTTCTTAGACCATTCAACATGTGGAAAAGCCCCAAAAAACTCTAGGTTTATAACCTAGAGACACTTTCGATCTACGCATGGGGAGGGGGGGGGGTAAGTAGCCTCCAAGTAGACATAAGTAGAAAAAGATGAAAACCTAGAGAGTGAAAGGCAATGAGATGCTTGAAAATTGAAGGAATAAACTTGCTATTAAGTAAAAATAGTTCCTAATTAGCACGTGTGAATTCAAACTCATCAGCTTTATCTATTTTAAATTATGATTCCATCTTTTTTTAGCAATGATGATCCCACCATCTTTGGTGAGATTGTTTCATTACAATCTCTTGCTTTACTCCCAAATCTTGTTGCCCTTAAGATCAAATAATGATTTATGTGAGTATCTAGTGCCCATTAGAGAATAACTTATTGTATCCCATTTTTGATATAGTTGTTTCAACCTAGTTTAGGGAGTTTTTCTGCTGTTGTTGTTAGTATTTCTGCTTGTGTTCGCTCAATATTGCTACCCTTTATGCCATGCCATATTGCCGCAACAGCACATACTCCATATTTGTCAATGCTATGGGGTTATGATTGGTTTGAGCCCAACTTTAGCATTTTGGAGAAGTCTTTGCTTGCTCGTTATTAGGCCATTATTGGCAAGAAACAAGAGTGGAGAAGTTGGTATGGTCATACCAAAACTTGGCCAATTATCTTGGGGTATGACCAAAAGATGGTAAATTAATTTTGGAGACCAAGCAAACATATTCATCTTCCCTTTCCTGACAAGTAATGGTCTTCGATTAGTACTCAAGTAGTACTGAAACCATATTTATCGCATTGCGGTTTTTCTGATCACTACATGTGGGTGTGCTTCCCGACAAAATGCACACTATTCAGCAAAATTCCTTTATTATTTTCCTGTTTGCCTTTTAGCACATCTTCATATTTAGGCTCCTTTCTTCAGAACAGACTCCCTGGTGGTTGCTTTTGTGTGCGAGTAATAGTCTTTTTTTAGGTGGCATGGGTAATAGTCTTGTCGGTGCGTACGTGGGACATGACTCTTTTTCTTCGTTGGGACACAATCAAGGCGTGGGCCCCAGCACGTGGCATCCCCCCTCTCTCACATTTCCCCTTTTTGGTTATTATAGGCACACATGGTCATGGCTATGTTCTTAGTTTTCCCCCATGTGAAAAAGCTCTAAAATTTCCGAAAGTTCAATTTTTTCGATAGTTTCAAATTCTGAAAGTTGGACAAAGATTTTTCAGAAAACGAAACAGCAAATTCCGAAAGTGGCAAATAAGAGATCTTCCAATATGGAAATCACCAAATATGGAAGAAACTTGGCAGGAAAGCACCAGATATGCAAAAGTCTTCAATACTTCTGTCTTTTTTAGAGATCAAGAGTTCTGTTTTTTTAGAAGAATCAGTAGTTCTGGAAGGAAAAGAAATGAGGCCCAACTCTAGCTAAAACAAATCGGCCCAGCCCACATAATCGCCTCAATCCCCAGTTCTGCGAACTGGGCCGACGACAGGTTTTACGGCCCACCGTGCCACTGGTCCCTACGAGCTGCGATTAGCGGAAGCAATTCGAAGCGAACTTGCCGTAGAGGCGCAGACTTCTCGGTCTGCCGTTGGCCACCGGCAGCAGGGAAAGGGCTTCACCTCCTCGCCGTCACGGCAGCGGCCGAGCGGCGTTCAATCTTCCTTCTCCTTGTCCGCAGGCGAGGTCTCGGCGCCGCGCCACCTTGGATACGTCTTTGCACCCTCAGTTACACGTTTCAGGCTGAATCCCTCTCAGCTTTCAAAAGAGTCAGACGCCCCTGAATTCGCTTGGTCTCACTCTGCGGTTCAACTATCGTGTCCTCCCACCTACTGAAGCTCACTTCGATTTCGAGACACGCCAAGGACCTGTCCTCTGTTTTCCCATGGCGGACGAGAGACGGGGACGCTGCATCAACAGTGCAGTTCCGCCAAGAAACTGCGACATTCAGAAGAGAAACGCCACGTCCCAGTAAGAGTTGCTTCAAGGACACAGGCGACCAAGGATCTTCTCAAGGACGGCAACCGAGTCGCCTCGGAGAATGGGCACCGCCAAAATAGTTGAGTGAGGGACTCTGAATCATGAATCATGACGAGAGTTATCATGAGCAAATAAGTGATGCAGTCTTGAGTCTTGACCGGACCTTTGACATGTGTCACGCAGAAACCACGATCCCTTTTTGTGAACTTACATTGTTTTGACTATCTGAAATGCCTTGGAACTTTAGATTTCACACACCTAACTGGCTTCTCAAAGCGGGACATGTGGTATCTTCACGCCAGCAGAATGTAGACGGTAGGTTGGTTAGGCCTGCATTCACCCCCTTTTGAACCAGTTGATCATCATCCTACCAATCTTCCCACTCGTCGGACCGAAATGTCTGAATTCTGAATGTTGAGCTATGGACTTCATCACTTTGGCATAAGGGTTGCACATGGATGCTTTTTTGAAATTCAACCGAAAGGATTGCGACACGCCGGTTCAGATGACGGAGCAACCGAATCTGCAGCCTCTTTTCGAGTCCTACCATGTGGCTTGTCTTCCCATGCTCTGACGGTGTTTGTCTACTCAATTCCGGTATAAGCTTTTTGGCTTCGTTTTCATCTATTATTACCAGATGAGATCAGCATGTGCTCAGAGTGATCTCAGATTCGTGTACATCTGCTCCTCCTCTCCTTGAACATGGTTTTTGTTGCTCTGAACCTGAACCTGAACCTGAAGGCTGAATGAATGTGATTCGCGTGCCAACGGTAGCCTCTGGATATCTCGGAAATCAAGCGTGTTGGACATGAGTATACGTTTCCATCAGTTCGTCCAGTCCAACACGATGCCACCCATCATCATGCATCTAGTCGAACGAACGAAAACGGCAGTTCAGCCAGTCCCAGCTCCAAGGCCTGTCTGAATGCAGAACGGGAGAGAATTCCATCCCATTCCATTTGTTAGGCCTCAGGTATGGTCAGGCTGCACTCCGTACAGGTACAGGAGAGGAGCAGCCCGCCTCGCAGATACCGGCGGCGACCGTATGCCGTGATGTCACCGTTACGCTGTGGGAACAGTGATTAATGGCGGGATCCGTCTTCACGTTGAAGCCGGTCCGAGGCATGGGTGCGAGTGCCAGATTCATTCAGGCCGCCGACCAGACATGGCTGGGAGCCTGTACACGCCTCGCTCCTACGGGCCTGACATCACCTCTGTTGCCTGCAGGTCATGGCGGGTTCATTTCAATGGCGCCAAGCCGGGACGACAGTAACCGCGGCTGCGAGCGTGGCCGGAGACGCCGAGATTTAACCGTACCTGCGGGGGAGTGATGGGAACGCGGCATTACTGCTCCATGGAAACAGTGGCGATGTTTCTCAAGCGGGGTGAAAGTGGCCGGCCGGGCTGAGGGTGACCGCCGGGGGACAAGGCGCCACGGACTCCCGGAGGTTCATTGCATTTGAAAACGGGGATGAAGTCGATCCGAGTGGCGGGAAACGCCTTCACGTCGACGCCCGGCTGAATCTCCAAGATGGCAAGAGCCCGTCCTCCGTCGCCCTCCCATATGTCGAACGAAACTGAACCCGACTCGTCGTCGGATACGAATCCGACCATGCCATACATACGTGATACGCGTCCCGTTCGGCTCCGGCTTCCGATTCAAACGAGGCAGGTATTGTGCTATATACGTATGCGTCAGGCCAAGAAGGACGAAGCCAACCACGCAATCTTGGGAACTTCCAAGTTCCGCCGACGCCGCAGATCGCGGAGGTCGATCTCGGCTATCGGCGATCGTCGTGTTTGGTTTCGCTTCAGCGTCCGGGGACGGCCGGATTCATCACCGTGACGTCTTGGCTGGCCATATGAATTGTGAACCCTGCAGTCTCCCGGTCGTCGTGGCTGCCGGGCAAACCGTAACCAGCTCGGGGTAACCATGGCCAGGAGCTCGATCCGGCCATAGGTCATCCGCCATTAATTTCTGGCTAGCTAGACAGCTCAGGCTGGTCAGCTTGGAACAGCAGCAGCTACCAGGTGTCTCGCCGCGGCAGCACTGAGAAATCTTGCAAGCAACCGGCTGCGGTCTGAATTCTGAGTCCTGAGCTCCATCGGATCGGCGTGACAGTTACACCTCGGCCCTGGCACTCTGTTGGCCTAACTGTGTCCGGCTCGTATACTTTACTGGCTGACGGAGAAGCCACATATCTGAAGCAGCAGCTCGCAGCCACGTCGGAAGCGGGCACTTAATTGCCGGTGATTTACAGCCACAACCATCCGACTTGGACGAGGAGTCGCCGGTTGGTTTACCACCGGCGGTGCATAAATACCCAGCGGCCACGGGCCATAATAATTATTCGAGCTCCAGTGCCTCCAACACCATCACCACCCCGGAGCCCGGACGACAGAGCACGTACCGCTCTCCTCTCCTCTCCTCGGCGATGTCGTCGCCTTCCTCGGCCCATTGGCTGAGCCTCGTCGGGACCATCTGGCTGCAGACCATCAACGGCCCCAACTCCGACTTCCCCGTCTACTCGTCGCAGCTCAAGGAGCTCAAGGGCATCTCCCAGGTGCAGCTCAACTTCCTCGCCTTCGCCTCCGACGCCGGCAAGCTCTTCGGCTGGTTCTCCGGCGTGGCCGCGCTCTACGTGCCCCTCCCCCTCGTCGCCTTCGTCGGCGCCTCCTTCGGCCTCGTCGGCTATGGCGTGCAGTACCTCTTCCTGGACAGTCCCGGGCTCAAGTGCTGGCACCTGTTCCTGCTCACCGCCCTCGCCGGGAACGGCATCTGCTGGATCAACACCGTCTGCTACCTCCTCTGCATCAAGAACTTCGCGTCCAGGAGCCGCGTCGCCGTCAGCCTCGCCACCAGCTACCTCGGCCTCAGCGCCAAGGTGTACACCAGCCTGGCCGAGACCATGCCCCGCCTGGCCGACTCCAAGGCCAAGACGTACCTCCTCCTCAATGCCGTGGTGCCGATGATCGTCACCGTGTTCGTGGCGCCGGCCCTCAGGCTGTTCGACCTCAAGAGCGACTCCATGTCGAGCACGGATACGGCATTCCTCGTCATGTTCGCCATCACCCTCGCCACGGGGGCGTGCGCCGTGGTCGGCAGCATCGGCTCCACGGCCAGCGGGCTGTCCTCCAGGGAGCACATGGTGAGCCTCAGCGTGCTGCTCGCCGTCCCCATGCTCATCCCGGTGGCCCTCAAGATCCGCGAGAGCATGAACAAGATCTGGGAGGCGAAGCGCGAGAACAGGATCCACGATCTCGGCACCGACGACGCCGTGGTCGTGATCGAGGTGATGGACCTCGAGTACAAGGAGGAAGAGATCGCCGTCGCGGAGGAGAATCCCCAGGAGGAGGTCGGAGGCCTCCAGCTGCTCAAGAAGCCGGACTTCTGGCTCTACTTCTTCAGCTACATGTTCAGCGGCACCCTGGGCCTGGTCTTCCTCAACAATCTCGGACAGATTGCCGAGTCGCGAGGTCTCGGCCAGACTTCCACCCTGGTCTCGCTGTCGTCTTCCTTCGGATTCTTCGGTCGCCTCCTCCCGTCCTTCATGGACTACTACTCTGCAAAGTAAGCACTTAACCATTCTTTCCACACACACTTGCGTGATTAGATTAATGTTTATTTTCGTCTGATTGGTCCCTTGACATCTTCTTGGAGTCTCCCTCCAGGATTCATGGGGTCCTTTTAAATGGGAAACTTGTAACCATCAACAACTTCTAGTTCTAGAGTGGAATCGAATCTTCTCTGCTTTTGTCCATGCAATTTTACTTGTTTCCAGAAGCAGAAGAAACGGAAACAGCGGCTAACTGAATCTGTTGTTGGTTTGTGGTGCAGAAGCGGCCACAGCATATCGAGGACGGGGTCCATGGCGTCGCTGATGGCGCCCATGGCGTGCGCCTTCTTCCTGCTGCTCAATCCGGGCAGCGTCTTCCTGTACGCGAGCACGGCCATCATCGGCACCTGCACGGGGGCCATCACGTCGGTGGCGGTGTCGGCGACGAGCGAGCTGTTCGGCGCCAAGAACTTCGGCGTCAACCACAACGTGCTGGTGTCCAACATCCCCGTCGGCTCGCTCTGCTTCGGCTACTTCTCGGCGTTCCTGTACCAGCGGGAGGCCGGCGCGCGGGGGGCCGCCACCTGCTCCGGCGCCAGCTGCTACCGGGCCACCTTCGCCATCTGGGGCGCCACCTGCGTCGTCGGCACGCTGCTCTGCGTCGTGCTCTACGTCCGGTCGCGCAGCTTCGCCGGCAGGCTGCCGGTGAGGTTACAGTGGCTGTCGCGCTTCGCTAACTTCCTAGGCGCTCGTCAGAAGGCTTGACCCTTGACGACGGCGGCCATGGTGCATGATTGATTAACTTAGGAGACACGAAGCATCGATCTGTCACGATGCGATCGATGTAGCTTTTTGTTTTCTCCTTTTTATGGTTTTCTTCTTGACTGATCGATCCCACGGAGGGGATACATACACAGATCAAGCTGGACTGAGTAGATATTGTGCAGGTTGATCATCACCTTTTCGCTGCAGATATATATGCATATAAAGAGTGATTGAAGAATAGCAGATTTTTTTCTCATCATCAAGTACTATAAATGCTTCTTCATTTCCTGGTTTAGTGCCAGCATGTGGGAGTATTGACGTTGGGAGGTTGGAGTAGTGTACGTACCTGGAGCTGCAATTAACATTTAGTGCATGAAAGCAACAAGGGATGCCCTGTTTAGACTTGTATATGGTTGATTAATTACGAACGTGGAATTCTACTACTGATTGATTGTGTAGTGCCGGCAGGCAGGCAGCTATAGCTATACGTGTAGAGAAAAAAAGAATCTGTTGGGCACATCCGTACATGTACGGGCGATGGAGTAAAAGCTTGTAGTGGACCGTCCGAATTCCAGTAATTGGCCATAACAATTCCGCAAAGTATTTGTTTGTAAGTTAGCACGAAAGTTATCAAGGAAAACCCACCAGACCGTATTCTTATGATTTTATCATAATTTTTTCTAATAAAACGGTAGAAAAATGGTGACGAGGCTCCGTAGATGACGAAACAGTAGAGTCTGGCGCTCAAAATTAAGGAAAATTCTAGACTTGATGGCTCCAGTGACAGTGTAACCCGTCTTTCAGGATCTTGTCTTGACCAGGTAGCATGGCACACCACACACACAGTGTAGGGTTCCCATCTACTCCTACTAGCTTGTTTATTTACATCGACCCGTCGCTTCCGACAATAGCATCACTGCATGCGTCCAATCCGCATCACCAATAAACAGGAACTGAAACATGGCACCACTCACATTTTACTATCTACACGCATGAAGATCGGACATGCGATGCATGTGAGGCAGAGGCCGCCATTAAAGGATGCGCGAGCAGGTAGGTCGATGGATGGATCCAGCATCGGCCTCGCTCGTGGTCCTCTCACATGCTGTTCGACTTCGATCGATAGCGTTGCAATGAAACAACGCAAAGTTCAGTTCCATCTTCCTTCCCCGTGTACTTGCATGGGCGGGCCGATGCCCATTTATTCGCCGAAAGATTGCAGAGCCATCAGCTCTGCCACCGCTGCCGGATGTCCTCCAATCTCTATTTCTCCAATCTTTCAGCTGGTGAGCTGATGTGCATTTATGCGTTTACATATGGTTGGCTGGCGCACACCGGTGAGGATGCTGCGGCACAGCGGCAGCCTCCCCCACGCCGTCGGTGCATGCGGTGATGTCCAGCCCAGCGCGCGTCCGGTGGATCGGTCGCTACCCTTCAGCTTGGAGTTGGACTCGCTTGGAAACTGACATGACATTGTATCTATGGGCTTGAATCTTGTCACACTTAACGGACAACGCACAATGCATGACTTGAAAGGCAACGCGCAACGCATGACTGATCGATCCATAACGCACTGGAGCTAACCAGCTAACGAGCACGCTCCCTCAAAGTGAGCCCAAATCTCGCGCTCTGTGGCTGCTACAGTATATATGGTTGCCTCGCCCTCGCCCGGGGAGGAGGAGTGAATGAGGGACGATGCTTGGCGCAGTGCAGTGCAGTTATGGTGGTTGATGGTGGATGCCGGATGGTAATGGCGGCGGTTGTTGAGGAGGCAGGGCCACGGGAGATGGCCATGACATGTGTCCTGTGCGCGCACATGGCTGGCACCAAGGCGGGCTGCCCGCGAGCGCGCGACGCCCGGCGAAAAGGAGCCGCGGGTTGGAGACCAAGGGCCAAAGTGCGCGCTCTTTTCGGTCCATTTGTAAACGCAGCGATTTGGTCAGTTAGTTGGACATGCTAGTTTGTGTGGACGCCATGATGATTACAGTCGCGCGTCTCTTGTAATCTTGCTGCTGCTTGCCATTGCTAGTGGTCGGATCAGATTCGGTAATGTTGCTGCTGAAAGCGTGCCGTCAGCGGGCGAAAAATATCTGAGAGCGTGAGCACATCACTATGTCAATCTAGGGTACGGCCTGGTGTGCCAATGTACCCTAGCACTCATGGGAGTTGTGCAAACATTTTTGCATCTAAGAGTCGGGAAGTCGTCATGCCAAGACTAACGATGGCATGTACCTAGGGTAGGGTCTTAGGCCTGACCTATATATGCCCTTCCCAAAGACATCACACAAGAGGCCAGGGCCTACAAAGTTAAACAGAAGATACCGACTGAAATCCTCATGAAGTGCAATCCACTCGACAGAAGATTCCACTCGGATATCTCAATTCCACTCTGTTAGAATACATATGTGCACAGGACCAGGACTTGGACTAGGACTTGGATTCTGTGATGTATACGGCCCAGGACGGGACCGTCTCGATCTGTAAACGATCTCTACATCTCTGTAATATAAATATACGTCAAGGTGAACCCAACAGTGCACCACGCATCAATCTATTGATCTCTGTTTTTTTACATGGTTTCACAGCCTTCTCTTCTAAATCGCATCTAGATGTCTATCGTTCCCTTCGGCAGTTCCTCAGGTGCTTCTTCCTCGATTAGCCAGCCCATGGCGATGTTTGGCGACACCGCCCGCGAGAAGCTTGGCCGCGACATCTTCCTTCTGTGGAAGGCGACGATTCTACCCCGGATTCGAGGGGCGCAGCTTGATGGATACCTCGACGGCACAATTCAAGCTCCGACCAAGACCATTGATGTCCAGAAGGCCGACAAATCAGGCACGGAGATAGTGCCAAACCCGGAGTACGCTCGCTGGGTAGCCCAAGACCAGCAAGTTCTGGGATCGCTGCTGACCTCTCTCTCCCGTGAAGTACTCACTCAAGTCGTCTCTATGAGGACTTCCGTGCAGGTCTGGACAACTCTTGAGGAGATGTACTCCTCTGTCTCTTGGTCACGGATTATCCAACTCCGGACACAGTTCGCTGGCACTCGAAAGAACGAGATGACTGCCACAACATACTTCACAAAGATGCGAGGCATTGCCGATGAACTCACAACAGCAGGGAAGAAGATCGAAGCCGACGATCTCATCTCTCAAATTCTTGTAGGATTAGACGCAGAATACAATCCTTTCTCTCCTCCATTGCCGCAAGAACCAACGCCTATTCCCTGAGCGAAATTTATGCTCAGTTTCTTGCCTTTGAAACACGCCTGGAGTCCCAAAATTCTAGGTCACAACAGTACAACTCTTCCGTGAACCTAGCTGCACGAGGGGGGCGCGACAAGATAAATCGTGGCGGCAAAAGCAATGGTGGCGGGAATCACGGTGGCTACGGCAACAACAACCGCGACGGCTACAACAACTAAGGCAACAGCAACCATAACTATGGCAACATTAGCTAACCCAACAATAATCATGGTGGAGGACGATCAGGAGGTGGAGCGAATGTTTCCCGTGGTGAAAGGCCTACTTGTCAGATCTGTGGCAAGGTTGGGCATATAGCTCATAAGTGTTGGCATCGGTTTGACCCAGAGTGTGTCACCGAAGAGAGATATGGTGGAGCAGCCACTACTTCCTATGGAGTTGACTCAAATTGGTACTTTGATACCGGAGCAACCGATCATATTACAGGGGAGCTCGACATGCTGACAACACGCGAACGCTACAATGGTCCTGAACAAGTTCACGCAGCTAATGGTGCACATATGGCTATTAGTCACATCGGTCATGCAGTCATTAATTCTTTTGATCATACTCGAAAATTTCATCTTAACGATGTACTTCATGTTCCCAAGCCACAAAAAGCCTAGTTTCACCAAGTCGTTTTGCTTCTAATAATAATACCATTGTGGAAATTCACCCTCATTCTTTTCTTGTAAAGGACCCATCAACGAAGGCAATCCTTCTAAGCGGCCGATGTGAGCAGGGTCTTTACCCAGTCAAGTCATCTCCTTTCTCCAATAGTCAAGTCTTTGGTGCTTCAAGACCGTCGTTGACAAGGTGGCATGGTCGCCTTGGTCATCCAGCCTCTCCAATAGTCAAACAAATCCTTAGGAATTTTAATTTGCCATGTTCCAATGAGTCCAGTAGTGAGTCTGTGTGTGATTCATGCCAAAAGGCTAAAATTCACCAACTACCATATCCTAGGTCCTTGAGTATATCTGGTGCTCCTTTAGAGCTAGTTTTCTTCGATGTTTGGGGTCAAGCACCCGAGTCTGTTGGTCGAAATAAATACTATGTAAGCTTTATTAATGATTATAATAAGTTTACTTGGATATATCTCTTATGAAATAAATCTGATGTATTCCAATGCTTTCATGATTTTCAACAATTAGTTGAGCGCCTTTTTAACACCAAAATCATAGCTATGTGATAACCCGCAAGTATACGGGATCAATTGTAGCCTCTTTCGATAAGTAAGAGTGTCGAACCCAACGAGGAGCTAAAGATAGAACAAATATTCTCTCAAGTCCTATCTACCACTAATACGACTCTACGCGCGCTTAGTGTTCGCTTTACCTAGAACAAGTATAACACTAGAAGTACATTGTAGGTGTTGTTGGATAGATTTGCAAGATAATAAAGAGCATGTAAATAAAAGGCAGGGGCTTTTTAGATAAAGAAGCAATAAAGTAAATATAGCGAGTGTGGAAAAGTGGTGATAGGAGTTGTGAAATTGTCCCTAAGCAATTGACTACTTTACTAGACCGATAGCAAGTTTTATGTGGGAGAGGCATAAGCTAACATACTTTCTCTTCTTGAATCATATGCACTTATGATTGGAACTCTAGCAAGCATCCGCAATTATTAAAGATCATTAAGGTAAAACTCAACCATAGCATTAAAGCATCAAGTCCCCTTTATCCCATACGCCACAACCCCCTTACTCGGGTTTATGCTTCTGTCACTCAAGCAACCCATTATAAGAGAATCATGAACATA